GACCCCGCCGCACCCCCCGGTGTGCTCGCCCCAGCCCGCTGACGGCCACCGCAGCCTGGCCGGCGGGCCCGCACCAACAGGGTGGAGCCCGGCGGCGCCGGAAAGCCAGAGCGAGCTGCTTCTGATCTCCTCTGGCGTGCAGATGTTCTTCGTGGCCCCCAGCGGGCAGGTGAGCGCCCTGTCACATCCCGGATATCTTCGCATCGTCAGCTTTGCTACCCAGCCGCCTGATGGGAGAGGACCCGTCTTCTTGGATGTGAGTAGACTTGCCTTTTGATTATTTTCTGATCATTTTATGCATCATTTTACTGCATTGCAGTCTGGTGTGGCAAATACACTAACACAAAGTAAAACTAATTGCTCCTTAGAATTTGTACCGGCTGTCGTTCATGCTGCCCGTGTTTCCGTTCCTCATCATGAGTAACAAAGTGTTTTGACTTTGTTGCTTCCCACTGAATGAGAGCAAACAAAGCTGATGAATGCCAAGTTGAGCGCTTGACACCCAGCGCATTGTTGGTCAGCAACACAATGGAGGCATTAACGCGCGAGTCAGCGCTTTTGTTGTCTTCACACAGCTCATTGTTGTGTCAGGCGGCACCAAAAAAAAAAAAAAAACTCTCGCAGTCGCCTGACAGACAGACCGATCGACGACCTGTGACAAAACATGATTAACATTTTTTTTTTTTTTGGACAAAGGTTTATTCATGAATTGATGTATTGTCAGAACATCTTAGTTTATATGTTTACTTTATTACACAATATTTAGTGACTTTTTTTTTTTTTTTTGTATCTTGCACTCGACAACCACTCCACTAATCTAAAATAAAGCATTTTGGAAAAAAATATAAACTACAAAAAACGGACAAACTTCCTTTTAAAACTAATTAAACTACCTGAATTAAAAAAAAATAAAATAAAAATTTAAAATTGTGGAGGAACCCAAAACTCCCGCTTCAATGTTGACTGCTGCCATGACGTACGACCATTTTTCCCCATTTGTCATCATGGAAACGTTTGCGTGTGTTTCATACAGGTGTGCGGCTGGCTGCACCCCCTCACCCCAAACACGCCAGTGCTGCTGGCCCCATCCGGCGTCTTCATGTTGCCCGATACGTTGGCACCGATGCCGGGCGCCTTTATCGGCGTGGTGCTGTCGTCGCAGCTGCCCGCCGCCGACCGAGAGATGTTCCAAGATCTCATGACGCAGCTGACCGACTTCAGGGTGCAGGTTGATGATGTCACACGTCCTCTTGTTTGACAAAAAAAAAAACAATCATTAAAACCCTCAAAAGTATGTACAAGCGTACATTGACTACCGAGGATTTTGCTACCGATTTTTTTTTTCCGACAGAGTCCAGACAGTGTGGGGCCCGGCGTCATCAGGCTGAATGAGATGGTCCCCCTGGGTCCTCAGGTGGTGTTGCCCGAGAACGGGGCCAAAGCGCCGCTTCCAACTTGGAGCGAAAAGATGGGCCAGGGAATCATTTCAGGTGAGTAAAGTCAACTTTGACGCATGGGCAGGAAGGTGAAACAATTTTCTCTCTCTCTCTCTCTCTCTCTCACACAACTTCATTTATCGAGCATTTTTAAAAAAAAACAACCGCAGCTGGGACACAAGATCGAACATGAAGGACAGAAAGAGGAGCACGAGTGATGTCTCCGCTGACAACCGAGTTCAGCTTTTATTCATTTTAGTGTTAGTTTTAGTTTTTCTTTTAATATGTGTTGTTTTTCTCCAGCGTATGATTAAAAAGGGCTACAAGTATTGCGTCATAAAGAAAAGTACACTCCAATTGTCAAACAACTTTTTACCTTCCATCTTCTGTATGGGCAAAGAGCAATACTGAAAAAAATTGCACTTAAATTTTTTTTTTAATTATTTTATTTTGTTTTTCATGAACTATAATAACCTTACTCCCAGGTCATGACCTATGAAACGGAATGTCGCCAATCAATAAGCTTGGAAATGACTCCAAAATGGTTGACTTGTATCTTTTCAAGCATGGCTTTTTTAGACTTTTTTTTTTTTTTGTAGCTCTACTCATAATACCCACGGCTACTAAATTTCATTTGGCAAAGTGAAACACCCTTCAGGAGCTGAATTTTCGAAAATGCACTGAAAGGTGATGTTCATTAGTGTCCATGTCTCTCGAGGGGCAACGCGGTTGGGCCACGAGGTGGTTAGAGGAGCCGAAGCAACCACCAGAGCCATACAGAAGAGTGCTCTGAAGATCCGGGACCACCTTACGCCTGAGGAGACGCCCTCCGAAGTCAGCCCGCAGGTCTCCAAAGGCCTGCAGGTAGCAAAGCAGGCCACAGGGGGCGCTTTACGCATCAGCCAGTACTTGGGTGAGCTGTCAGAAAGAAAATATCAAAATATGGTCTTGTCCTTTAGCTCACGAAATTTTTCATGTACCTTGACAGTGGATGGTGTGAGCACATTGGCCGAACATCTGGCGGAAAAGGTGGCCCCTCAAGTGAAAAAGCACGGCGCCAAGCTGATCCCCGAGTCCATGAAGAGCAAAGACGGGGAGCCGTCCAATCTCGAGGGAGCCAAATTTGTGGCCGCCAGAAGCCTGCAAGGTGACCTTTATTTCACCGATCATGCACAATTGTCTTCATGAGCTTTTTTTTTTTTTTTTTTTTTTGTAAAAGCAAGCAATATCTTCAGGAAAAGTTAGCCAAAGTCAGAGAGATGTTTAGCAGGACAAAACAAGATCGACTGCACTGTCCTGTAATGTGTTCTTCCCCTCCACACATCAGGCTTCACCACCGTGTGGACCAGCCTGGAAACGGGAGCCAAGCTCATCGGCAAGAGCATGTCATCCGAAACCGTGAGCACGGTGACGTACAAGTGAGTCGGCCTCACCGAACCGTTGCCTGGCTCACTTCCTGTTTGGGAACTTCCTGATCTCTTTCTGCCTTGCATCTTTTCAGATATAGGGGCTTAGGGAAGCTATTAAACACGCCAGCTGACGTCTAACTCTTCTTTTTCCACTTGTCTCTTGGCTTTTGGTAATGTATTTATGCTTGCAGAGTTGATTCACTGGAGGTTTGTCTGTAAATTTTCCCTTCTGGCATGTCTGGGTACTGCTAACTAATAAAGGAAATGAGATGAAATAAGTAAGTACATTTTAACATTTTCTTTCTACACTGCAGCGCTCAAAGAGGACTCCGAAATTGTTTCATTTAGTTCAACCGCACGTTGCATTCCACAGCTTTTACATTTTGCTGACTGCGCATTTGACTGTTTGTACGTTTAAACTCCTCGCGGCCAAGGTACGGCAACGAGGCGGGCCAGGCCACCGACACGGCGCTGCGCTCGGTGACCAACGTGGGCGTGACGGCGTACAACGTGGACAACTTGGGCCTGAAGGCCATCCTGAAGACCACGGGCAAGGAGATGGCCAAAGGCATGGTGAAGAGCTCCAAGGGACAAGAGGTGGCGGCGGGGGAGGACGGGACACCTGGGACGTCGCAGGGTGCGCAGGCAGCCTCCGATGACGACAAGGACAAGAAAGTGCAGAAAGACAAGGTGGACGAGGGCGCAAAAAAGACTTGATGTAGCCCAGACGTCATGGTTCCTTTTATCGCATAATTTTTCGCGCTCCTTATTTATTGCGCTGGGCGTGTGTTGCATAATTCTGCATTCTTTGGGAAATTGAAGGAGTTTTTATTATATAACTAACAATGAGTATTGTTTTTCTGTTGTTGTTGTGCTCATTTTTATCACATTGTTTACGTGGTTAATTCAGTGTTTTACAATTGTTCTCCTAAATAGTTGTCTTGAATTGTGTATATTTTTGTTGGTCGTATCTGCTACAGTTTGTTAATGGATTAAAACATTCCTGTCGTTGAAATCAATGATGTGTATTTAATTTTTGAGCACGGTTGCCATCTTGGCAGTGCCCCACAAATCACAAGTTGTTCCCCCGCCTGCCTCCGACCTGTCCAATGGATGGATGGATGGATGGTACCTAATCAAGTGTGCTGTCACTGAATGTAACTTTCTCGATGTATTTTTTTCTTCATTTCTTAACACGCTCCTTTCATTTCTTCCTTTTCATTTTCAAAGAACAGATCAATCATCCTAACTATATTAATCGGTTTTTAATTTAGGCACTTTGGGGGCCACTGGGGTTTTCTCTGACGTCACTAAAGAAAAAAAAAAGAAGAAAGATTCAAAGAAACTAAAGAGAGAAAATGCCATACACTTCCGGTTTTGCTTTGGGAGCCGTGACGCATTTCCGCCAAACGCAAAGACCGACTACCCGCCCTTACCCCAAACTTAACTTATTGTTTTTTGTAACATTTCCTGGCGTAAAGGGGAACTGGCGTGCTTCAGTCCAGCAGTCTGCTTGTGAAATGTGTAACTGTAAACTATGTACTTTGACGAATGTTATATGTGAATGAGTTGAATTCCATTTACTTTACTTTGATTTACTGGACGAAGGTTTAAATATCTTCGTAGTAGTTCGTGAGCCAAGTGACACACGGTCTCACAAATAATTGCATTGTCACGTTCATCGTTTTCGACAATGCTTCTGATAACGCCGTTGCTGACAAGCGTTCACTTGACAAGGTGAGTTTGGTTTTGTTGTGATTTCATACGTGTTACGCTACTGGTTATAATTGAATAGCGGGAATTGTTTGGGGAGTGTACAATTTATCATACAAATTACACCCCAATTCAACTGAACGTGAATGTGCAAAGACGGTGAATCCGTCTCTTTGGCGCACAGCTAGTGCACGAATTAGCTAGCAAGGAGGGAACCTCTCGGCCTGTTTATACTCTTCGGTCGCGTCAGTGGGAGGAGGAGGCGAAGAACAAGGAGTCATGTTGATATTCTATTTTTGCTCCTTTTCGTCCTCTTTCAACAAGTCACCTGCAGCCGAGGGCTCGGTGGAGGCTGCGGTAGTCGGTGAGTTTGACGAGGGGGCGGGCGTCCGCCCGCCTGCCTGATTAGCCGGCCTGTTCCTGTCAGCACTTTGGAGTCCTCAGCATCGTTACACGAGCTTATCGTCAGCCCGCAGACATGAGCGGTCGGCTGCCGGACCTCAGCCCCAAACAGGCTGAAGCACTGCGACAGGTAAGAGAGAATCACATAAGACGTTCATGTTGTTCTTATTTTAAAGTAAGTAAACAAACAGCCTGAAGGGGCAAGATAATACATTGCATTATATTTTTATTGTATTCATTACTTTTTTTTAATGTCGCAAATGAACAAGCTGGAGCACCACGAAATATAAAAAGTGTATATTTAACAAGTATTACAGTATTTGTACCTAAGGTATATACAGTATTTGCTATTGGTTAATTGCATAATAAACTCATTTTTAAATATTAAATTAAAAAAACATGAGTCAGTATTCGGTATATTTATTATTTTTCAGAAATATTGATATTTATTTTTTAATTAAAAAAAATAAAATGGCCTTAACTAACTGCACTGGGCAAGCGATAAGACAAATAACTGCAAATAATACAGAAAATATGTATTATTTTACAGTTAATAATTCATAATATAATATAGTATGATATCATATTTGACTGCAACTCTTTTTTTTTTTCTTCAAACAAGCACGCAGGCATGCACACACACACACACACACACACACACACACACACACACACACACACACACACACACACACACACACACACACACACCTTTGCCGCACAAATCTATGTGAAAGATATGCAATGGTTTGTCTCTGTTAGACTTTATAGTGACTGTGCAGCTTTTCCTTGTATTGATCCGAATCTCGTTATGGTTCCACCTCAAATGTCCCCAGTGAGTCAGTGAACAGCGCGACCTTGGATGTTTTGCTACATTTTCAAAAGGATCATTTTGCTGCTTAACACTGGCACACTCAAGTGTGAAAAGTAATTCGTCACTCGGTCACAAGTTTGCCCCACGGCTTCACATTGATGAATAAGAGCTAAAGAGATGGGACGAATTTTTCCGGCGTGGACGTTAAATGTACTTTATCCCACGTGTGCACTTTTCACTCTCTTCTCAGTTCAGGGAGAGGATTCAAGACGTTCTTGCTCAACTTCCTGCCCAGCATGACCACTTTCTGCTGCGCTGGCTCAGAGGTGAGCACTCAAAAGTGACGAGATTGGGGACATCAAGTGCGCTAAACATGTTCTAATCACAGATGATCAGAGCAAGAAAAATGTCTTCTCATTCTTCATTTGTTATTTTAACGAACAGGCGATGTTTTTTAGACAGGCGCTTGCTTCTCTTTATTTGCAGATTTGTGAAAATGAAGTACAAATGGGTACAAAACGAAAGGCAGTGAAGCAGTCAACTACCTTTTTCTGAGCAAAAACCGTCGTCCGTACGTTGGGAGAATACAACATCACAGGCAGAGCCGAAGCAATAATGAGCAAAATATTAAAATTATTAAAAATATTAGAAAAGCATACTGTCGTGGATTAGACAAAAATAAAAAATACACTAAATGTATCACAATAACAGCAGTTGAGTTGTATTTCTTGTTACGATTAGTAGTTCAGATGGAGGCCTCCCTTGAGCGACTCGGCGCGCTCTGGGCTAATCCGCAGCTAATCGCATTAAAAGGTGCACTCCGACAACAGAAGGGGCCGACGCGCTCTCGCCCGTTTGGTGGCACTTGACAAGGAGATGCCACAACAAATCTCACATGCTCTCCCAATGATCGAGGTGGGGGCCACTTCCAAGTTGTGGATTGAAAACCACCCAGTCCACTAGCTTGATGCTAACACCCGACGCAGAACGTCATGGACAGGCTAATGCAACCGGCATCAGTGTTGTGTCTTTGCTCTCTACTGGTGAAGGCGCACGTACCAGAAAGAGTCATACGATGGCTTTGTTCAAATAAAATAAATAAAAAATATAATTTTGTACCATCATGGTAGCGTGTCGTACAATGTCAGCCGCTGTGACATCGCGCCACAGTAGAGGCCTTGTACGCTCTGTTCCACGTCAGATCCGATTCGTTCAGAGGAATTACATAAGTGTGTAGAATGTTTCGAAATGTTCTGTGAAAATTGCTGAAAGTGGGTAGTGTTCATTTCTCACTTTTGGCACGGACACTTGGGTTTCTTGTTTTCTCATGTCACTTTATTTGTAAAATGTCCCAACACATTCCAAACAAGGATGAAATAACCATACCATAATCTTTATGAAAGTCATATTTGAACCCTCTTCACTGTCAAAAAAAAAAAAAAAAAGTTCTTCCACCGTAAAGAGATTTTCCTTTTCTTTTGTCTACTAGCCAGAAACTTCAACGTGCAGAAGTCGGAGGCCATGTTGCGAAAGGTAACGCGAATCCTCTGCTCCACGTCACCATTTTATTTCCCTGTGCGCATGTGCGATGTTATCGCAAGGAAAACTCTGATATGTGAAGAGCGATTAAAGTCCACGCGTTCAAGTTGGCAGCTGGGCTACTCGTTAGCTTCGTGCTAACAACCGCGGCAAACCGTCAGGCCGAAGAACAAACTGTCAGTCAGCTCTAATCAGTTCCACGTGTGTGTGTGTGTGTGTGTGTGTGTGTGTGTGTGTACCGATAATGTAACGACTCCACTTTTTTTTTGAGGGGGCAAATTTTCCTATCTTGTATATACCTTTAACTAACGCTGACAGCCCCCTACCACAAAGTATTTTATATATGATGAACAACTGTTGTCACGGTAATTAATTGTTGTGTGTGTGTTGTTCTCCTAGCACATCGAGTTCAGGAAACAAATGAAGGTGGACACCATCATCACTGACTGGCGGCCGCCCGAGGTGACAAAATAACAACAAGTAGAACGATCACAACCAAAACGACAATTTTAACAGCAAAAAAAAAAAAAAAAAAAAACGACAAATGTTACAACTTCAGAAACATCAATACCAACCAAAAAAAGACCAAATTAACAACTGCTCTACCATTGAAAATGACAAATGGAACAAAACCCGACAAGAAAAAGTGACAGTAGGAACCAAATAAAGACAAAACTACTATACCAACAAGAAATGACATCCAAAAAAGACAAAAATTGCCACTGTAACAACAAAAAAAAATCAACATCTGTAGCAACAAAAAAATGACAAGAACAGAAGCAAACCAAAATGGCAGTCTTATCAAAAAAACCTGACAATGAAAAAAAAGAACCCAAAAAGGCGACAAAAAGACCAAACTGACAACCGATTTTCACAACAAAAATTACACATTAAATACATTACAGAAATTGACAACAACTGAAACCAATAGCAACCAAACACACACAAAAAAAGCTGTATTTTTGTTGGTTTTAGCTGAAAGCTGTAAAACCAACAAAAATAACAATAAAAGCGACTTTGGACTTTTACCAGACAGGGATCGCCACAGTGAGTCAAGACCAAACTGACAACCGAAACGACAAAAACAACTCCGCCCCAAAAAAAAAAAAAAAACCCCAAAACACCACGGAAGAAGCGGCAAACCACCACCAAGACTTCATGCAGACCTGACTACTTACTCATAAGGACAGTTGTTGTGCTCTAGCGATGTCGGGGGAATGATTTTCATTCATCTCCAACACGGGAGATCCTACACAGCTATCGTCCAAGGTATTCTTTTGAAAAACATCCAACACCTTTCCAACATCTGGCAAAAATTCCAATTGGTTGCCGAAAAGACAAAAAAAAACCCCCCCCCAAAAAAAAAAAAAAAACCCCAAAAAAAAACCTCAGGCTAATTGTGTGTCTGGCGTGTAGGTGATTGAGAAGTACCTGTCGGGCGGCATGTGCGGCTACGACCGCGACGGCAGCCCCGTGTGGTACGATGTGATCGGTCCCGTGGACCCCAAAGGTCTCTTCCTGTCCGCCTCCAAGCAGGACTTCATCCGCTCCAAGATCCGAGACTGCGAGATGCTGCAGCAGGAGTGCGCCGCCCAGTCGCAGAAGGCGAGTGCCGTGCGGCCGCCGTGCATTCTGGGAAGGGAGGACGCTAATGCTAACGGCTAACGGCGCGTGTGTGCTGTGTTCCAGCTGGGCAAGAACGTGGAGTCCATCACCATGATCTACGACGTGGAGGGCCTGGGGCTCAAACACCTCTGGAAGCCTGCCATTGAGACTTACGGCGAGGTCATGCTCTCACACGTTCTCACTCTCTCACACTCAACACTCTTAACTTGCACACAGCCACTCGTTGACACTCTCGGTGACAGTGACATTTGTGTGCAAGTGGTCCTCGAAGCCCTTTGGTGCGTCTTGTGGTGTCTTCAGATCCTGCAGATGTTTGAGGACAACTACCCAGAAGGCCTGAAGAAGCTTTTTGTCATCAAAGGTAAATCAGGACGAGGAGTCGTCGCTACGTCAGCTTCCTTTCCTCACCACTCATCATTGCGGAACGTACGATGCTCCTTTAGCTCCTAAACTCTTCCCGGTGGCCTACAACCTCATCAAGCACTTTCTGAGCGAGATCACGCGGCAGAAGATCTTCATCCTCGGCGGTGAGACGGACGCACGCGTTGCGCGCACGCACGCATGCGTCTTTCTGAGCTGGCTTCTGACCGGAGAAGCGTGTGCTCGATTCCGCAGCTGACTGGCAGGAAGCGCTACTCAGGCACATCGACCCTGAGCAGCTGCCCGTCATTTACGGCGGGAAACTGACTGACCCCGACGGAGACCCTCGCTGTCGGACCAGGGTGAGTTTGGATCCTCTTGTCCTGATAGACTTGAGCTTCATCGTTAGATGATGGCAACCAACTTGCTTCACGTAGAACCAGCGTGGCAACATGCAGCCAGGCAAATGTTTGGTTTTTTTTAATTGCCTGCTGACTGAAAATTATTATTTTTTTAATTGGCCTGGTATCAAACCTAACCTAGCATTTAATTTGCTTTATAAAAGTGAGATAGCTTAATGCTAAGACAAAACGGCAAATTCCATCAAGTGGCGAATGAAAGTAGCGCCACGACTTATATTTGAATATAAACCGTTGCAACATATGTAGACGGGGCAGACAACTCCGAGGTATACATTCTTTATCCTCCTGAAAGGAGTTAAACTTGTCAGGAAAGGCATCACTGGAGGTTTTAACAGAAATCAAACAGAGTTGGCTGCAAACAATGTCACAAACTCTTTTTTTTTTTTTTCTAATGTAAGAACAGAATGGATCTTCCCTTTTCTGGAGACACACGAGGAAATTGCAGAAGGGAAGCACCACAAAAATAAGCAATTTGCACCCGCTGGTTTAGATGCGACAACGCCGTAGCAGCTTGCTCAAGTTAGCATTTTGGAGGCGCCTGCCGCTAGTAACTTGCTTGCGGTGGGGGGCGTCATCATCACCACTCACGTTGATGCTCTCTTACTGTCTCTGTAGATAATTAATTGGGCCCAGGACAAGTGAGGCACAGAGGGAAGTCCCCCATTTGAAAGGCTAACACTTTTTCTCCTTTTCTTTTGTAATCTAGCTAGATGCGTCGTTACTGTGTGACGTCAACACCCATTCGTAGTCACGTTTTGAGAATAAAAGCTCTTTTGAAAGCCACTTCACATGACCAGTCGTCTTTTTCATGACAGCAAAATTGTCTGTAGCCAATCTTTTTCCGTTTCCACATATTCCACAAATATAGATTTTTTTTTTAAAGCACTTTTAGAAACAACTGCATCTTAAACAAAATGCTGCACGTACTCTTAAAATTTCAAATACAGTAATCAAATAATAAATAATACAGTCTTTGTTTTAAATAAAAAACATACTTTTTTGAAAGCAAAAGAGCTCCTCCCTTCATTTCAATGTAGTTCCTTGGCACCCAGACGCCCCAAGAGGGCACCAAAGCAATACTTGTATGAACCGACACCACTTTTGTGTCTTTACACACACACACAAAAACAAATGTACACTTCCTGTTGAAAGCGAAGTGAAAACGTGTGCTTAAATTTGCACATAATCATCTCCGCTGTGTTCTGCTGACCCTACTTGGTTAAAAACTCTGTCATGCCACCTCACAATTTTGTGCAAACCAAGCCACCAAACATGCAAACAAATGGCGATTTCGTCATGTGAGTAAATCTTTCTTTTTCTCCTTGTTGAACATCGTATTTTTTGTTTTTTTCCCCCCAATGTTAATCTTTTTTTTTTTCTCCCGCAGATTAATCACGCGGGTCCGGTTCCTACTTCCTACTATGTGCGCGATCACGTATCGGTGGAATACGATCGCTGTTTGACCGTCAGTCGAGGGTCCACAAGACAACTGGATTACGAGATCCTCTTTCCGGGATGTGTCCTCAGGTCAGATGTTTAAACCACATCAGTCACTTATGATGTATTTGCATACTATGTCGGAATGTTAGTTCAAATTTGTAACTATCCAGTTGTATCCGGAGATGAATTTTTAAAATTGCCTCAATTTGGTTTGTGCGTGTGTCTTTCCATAACCCAAGATGGCAGTTTTCCAGTGAGAGTGCCGACATCGGCTTCGGCGTCTTCATGAAAGCCAAAATGGGCGAGTGGAAAAAGGCGACCGAGATGGAGGCGGTGGTGCCGAGTCAACGCTACAACGCTCACTTGGTGCCCGAAGACGGTTCACTAACGTGCGAGCGCCCCGGCGTGTGTAAGTCCTCCCTCCCTCACACACACTCGCACACGTCTACTTTAACACAGTCTCATTTCTTTATTTTCAAACATACGCTCTTCGACGTTGTCATTTCAAGCAGGCGTCAATTAAAAATCTACGATCCTTTCTTAAGGAGACGTTTTTGATTTTCTTGATGTGGCATTTATGAACATTACAGACTTACATTGCACCATAAAACAAGGTTATTTGAAGTGATTTCACAATCCCAAATACCTGCCTTGAAACCCACGCACCGTAAAATTGTGTGTGCAGACGTGCTGCGATTCGACAACACGTACAGCATCTTCCAGGCCAAGAGAATCAGCTTCACCGTGGAGGTTTTGCTGCCAGACCACTTGAAGACCCAACAGGCCGCTGCAGTGTCCAATCAGAATAAAGACGCAATGGAACGCAATCAATCGTAGCCAAGGATGTCAGAAGCAGTTGGGGAAAAAAAAAAGTATTACTTGAAGCACACCAAAGACCTGAACGTGTTTGTGTTCCCACCATGAGAACTGTTTGGTGATCATTATTCAGCCCTCCAAGGATGTTGTCTTTACTACAATAACAGTATTAAAATAAGATATAACAATAATACGGTATAGTTGATTGATTTCTGAACATTCAGATTTTGTTGTTATGAATAGATTTGAGTTTCCTGCTTCCCCCTCCAAACTTGAGTATGAATGGCTGGCTGTCTCTATGATTGGCGGCCGACCAGTCCACGGTTGAAACCAAACCTACGAAAGTCATCTGGCAAAAAGTGAGGGTACGCAGATAGAAAATGAATGGATGATGCTTATTTTAAAATCTTTTTTTTTTAAACAGTCCAAATCTGTATTTTATTAAAATTTGCACTTGTCACATTGTTCTTTATAGTTTTTCTTGTTAGCTTAATTTTAAAGTACTATTAGACCAAAACACTTTTTGAGACGAAATTACATTTATGTGGAAATATCTTGACAGATTATTAGGCCACTCTGTTTGGTCGTTTTGTGTCATTATTTGGCGATGTCATTGACGATTTTTTTGTTTTGAGCATTAATGTATATTAAACTGGTAACAATACCAGCGACAAAAAATGGCTTTGTCTCAACAATGTCTAAATTGTCAAAATAATAGTCACGTTTTATCCACTTGACTGGTTGACACGTTAGCTCCGAGTCCCCCGAAACGACTTTATCGCCCCCTGGTGGCCATACTAGCGCTACACACTCACCGGAAGCGCGCGTTTCTTTGGAAACCAGGTGGTACAAACTTTCTTTCCTCGATTTGGCGACATTTAAAATGAGCAAGGATTATTGTAAATATGACATGGCGCGGCTGCGCACTGAACTTGAGCAGGAACGAGAAATAAAGTGAGTTTTCACAATTTTGATTTCTACTTGTGTTTGCAACATTTTTGGGGGTTTGTTTTTTTAGAGACATGTTGGAAGAGTCGGTACAGGACCTCCGGTGCACCATGAGGGAACTTCAGGACAGACTTCATAGTGTCGACGGGGAAGGTGACAAAGAGAAAAGTTTCGAGTGGTTAACTGCGTTCATTTTGTGATTAATTGTTTTGTATGCATTTGTTTTTGGGGAACTTTGGGCCAGACAACGAGTGGAAGACCAGATACGAAACTCAGACTGAGCTCAACGAACAGCTACAAAGGCAACTCGCTGTCGTTCACGAGAGACTGGAAGACCTGCGTGGGAACCCAGTCGGTGAGATCTCACCTGGTCGACTAAAGAGACTAGATATAAATAAATCCTACGTTGGGCTCTGAGTCATACAGCAACGTCGTCGCCATATTGGATGTGGCTACATGGGGCGGTGAATGCCTATTCATTGCTGCTTGGAGATAGTTTTACATCCATTCAATGCCAGATTTATTGGGATTAATACTTATCAATGACATTTGATTGAATTTGGCCATTAAAACATGATGTTGGGACAACAATTTGGCTTTATGGCTTGTCCTATGACATCCTGTTTGTTCATAATACAGTGCAGGGAGTTTCCGAGGGAAATATTTCACGGCCTCCACAAAAAGGCTTTGTAATTGGATGTAGACGTCATGAGATGGCGGCAAAGCTCTTAAAATGGAGAGGATCATAGAGCAACAAAATATATCAAGCATGGATGCGATCATGACTCAATATTACATAAACAACTGGCTTCATCAGTTAAATTATTAACCACAAAAACCCATTAAGACTCATCAATGGTATTAGCTAACTATCAAAAATACCCAAAGGGTTTGATAAAATCAGTTCAAAACTTTTATTCGAAAGCACTCATATGTACATTTTTCAGTCTCTGTGCTTGAGTATTTTTTGAAGACTTCTTACTTTTACTCAGTTGAAAATAGAAACTTTCTACTCCTTACTATGACAAAATATGTACTTTTTAAAAATTTGAATTTGTGTCGTTTTTCCCAGATCGACTGGCTTCTATCCGATCCTACGATGACATGCCTTCTGTGAGTGTGGACTTTCATCGATCCCGCCAGCAGGGCGCGCCACACACACACAATAAATGGAAGACAGAATTGAGGAAGTTCTTTGACTTTGGCCACCATTTTGCCTTCTTAGGAGTCGCTGAGGCATCACCTCAAGCTGCTCACTGACGAGAAGTCGGGTCTCAAGAGTCAACTGGCCGACTGTCGCGTCAGCATTGAACAGGAGTCAAAGGTCAGTCAGACTTGACCTACTGCATCCCATGCATCTGCTCTATACAAAGTCTCCTCTTGTTTGGGGCATGGGGGCGGGGCAATCAGGCGTTCCATAAAACCAACGATGAGAGGCGAGCATACCTCTCGGAAATTGCCAAGGTAAGAGTCCTTCTCCATGTATGTTGTCATTACAACCAAGCTGCTACGATTCCCCGACAACGATGGCTTATTCGGCTGTCGATTCAAAAATGTTCTTCTGCAGTTGTCCTCCATGGTGGACGCCCAAAGGAGGCAGTACTCCATGCAGCCACGGAGGGCCACAGAAAGCAAACTGAGGTATAACATAAACCTTGGGCTCAGCGATAAACAAATTTACCTTATTCACATTTTTTTATTTTATTTTATTTATTTATTTATTGCCCAAAAAACCCTAACCTGTTTCCTTATGTTGAGTGTGCCCAGAGCAAAGCAGCCAAGCAGGAAGTCTGAGGCCGACGCTAAGAAGGGAAAAGCTGGAGAGCGTGACGCTGGAGGATGTGTGAGAGGAGGAGGAGGAGGAGGAGGAGGTGGAAAAGGAGAGGTGAAGAAATCCCACATTGGAAGCAGGTTGCCCACCCTCAAGCATCACATGAAACACTGACTAATGCAGCATCTTCCTGAGGAACTATCACACTTGAACCTAAAAAAAAAAAAATCTTTCTACCACATTCGTATTACTTGAGTGAAGCCGCTTCCAACGCACAAGTCATCACCCACGTATGCCCACACACGTCCACAGAAATCCAGTGTAACATACGGATTGTTGAGCATTGGTCTTTTGTTGCTCGATTGTGTCTTTCAGATGTAAAAAGCGATTATTTTTCCAAGGTAAGAGGCAGGAATATTTGTTTAATGTGCCAGTGAATATTTTCATATCGTCTGTCTACCTGTGTTGCTGCACCGTTTGTGTTTAAATATACGTAGGTTAAAGGATTATAACGCCACCACATAGTTGCTATTTGTTAGTCTCTCAAAGGTGTTTTGCATTGTTTGTCAGTATTAAAATAGCAGACATTTAAAGTTACGGGTTTGTTTTTAACATACGTGTATTTCTCTGTTCACCAAAAACAGTTTGGTCAAAGCAAATCCAATTTGGGTTAAAACTGGACCAATCCGCTACTTGGGTCATTTTGACCCAATCTTCACTGGGTTGTTTTGTACAAAATAAGCCATTTTTTTATTTATTATGATTATTTTGTACAAAATGATCCAATTCTTTGCGTGGTTTATTGCAAAGCAAAATGAGGCAGTACTCCATGCAGCCACAGAGGGCCACGGAGAGCGAAATGAGGTCAGAAAGTTGGGTCAAATTGACCCAAGGAGTGAATCGGCCTAGTTTTGACCCAAATTGGGTTAATATTGACCTCACTTCTTTTCATAGACTGTTTGATCTATGTTTAGTTTAACTCCAACTGGGAGTGGAAATAAATGGCATTAAGTGTCTTTTTTTTTTTTTTTTTAATGGTCATCTGGCAAATCGTGTGTGTGTGTGTGTGTGTGTGTGTGTGTGTGTGTGTGTGTGTGTGTGTGTGTGTGTGTGTGTGTGTGTGTGCGGGTTTATGCGTGCGTGTTGAATGAGAATCACGACACGAGTGACGTGCTGAGGAGGAGGAGGAGGGGGGGGGGCAGCAGCAGCAGCAGGAGGAGGAGGAACCTGCAGCTGCTACTTAGTTTCGTGTGCTGCTCAGCTTCTGATTCTTCTTTCCATCATCACCACACGCACACGCGCGCCCACAGTGTGAGCAGCAGGGCTCCGCTGTAATAAACTTTTGCTCACTTCCTGCTTTTTGTGGACAATCGGCAAGACTGGAGGTGACGGAGGCGCTCAGCTCTCGCGTCGGTAAGTCATTCACGGGTTGGACGATTTTGGGATGTCGTGCGTGCGGGGTGTAGCCTGCTATTGATTGTCCCTCCATCAAACCACGCACACTTGCTTGTTGCGAGTCCACCCAGATTAGATTTAATCTGTGGTTAGTGCTCTAATCTGGGACGCGCGCCTGCTCGCTTCTTGCTTTGCTTTCACAACTTTTGTGTGTGCGTGTGTGCTTGCGCGCGCGATCGTGTGCACGTGTGCGTGGCAGACAGTACCGCGGTGGTGGTGGTGTCGCCGCCGGGCCACGTCATGGACATGGAGCACTTCGACGACCGCGCTCAGCGCCACGGCAGCCGTGCCGGATCGGGATCCGCGGCCGGGGTCGCCGCGGGGGCCGGGAGCGGGGCGCGCGTCAACGGCGTGCAGAGCCCCACGCACAGCGCGCACTGCAGCCTGTTCCGTGCGCCGCGCAGCCTCAAGGCCCTGAGCGCCGAGAAGCGCGCCAAGAAGGTGCGCTTCTACCGCAACGGCGACCGCTTCTTCCACGGCATCGTCTACGCCGTGTCGGCCGACCGCTTCCGCACTTTCGACGCGCTGCTGGCCGACCTGACCCGCGCCCTCTCGGACAACGTCAACCTGCCGCAGGGGGTGCGCACCATCTACACGCTGGACGGATCCGGGCGCGTCGGCAGCATCGATCAGCTGGTCGAAGGTAAGCCTGGCTGGAAGTTACGGAGTACGGGTGTGCCAAATTTTGTACCTGAGGGCAACGTTTGATTTTTACAACCGACAGATGGGTAAGGTCATGGGTAGATGACCCCCCCCCCTCAAAAAGCTATGTGACGGCTTACCTGTTACCTAGGTTATGGTCATGTGATGTTCCAAACTGAGCACTTGGGCAACGTGACGTCATTTTCAGTCGACAGCAAGTGACAGTACAAGGCAAAATGGCCGTCCCCTAAAACGAAGTAAAACGGCTGGATTTTTCTGCTTAATTCATTTTCCACAAACGCAACATTAATCAGAATTTCGTGGTTAGACTATTGGGGGCGCATAGAGCATATTGTCAAGAGCATTTTTGACTTGACTTCCCTTTCACTTGTATTGTGAATTACATTATCATTAGGCCTAATTAGCCATTTATTCAAAATAAAATTCATTTAAAATGGTTTCTTTTGCCCATGTATTTTGTCCATTGGTGAATAACAATTGACTGGTTTTAGTATTTGAATTATAATTACCAGTAGTTTCCCATTTATTATGCAAATATTTATTTATTGCAATATTTATTGTAGCAAATATTTTCTTTTTAAAAAATCTGTCAAATATAAATCAATTGACCAATTATGGAATAAAATAAAATGTAAAAATATCACATATCCTTGTAAAATTGTTTAATTTAATGCCGAGTAATTCGTGCCATGCTATGACATGATAGCCTTCCCGTCTGATGTTGCTCACTACTATCCTCCTGGCGCCACCAACAGGCGAAAGCTACGTATGCAGCTCTGTGGAAGCATACAAAAAAGTGGATTACACCAAAAACGTCAACCCCAACTGGTCGGTGAACGTTAAGGCGTCGGGCGTTGCCTCGGCCCGTGGGCCCCCCTCGCTGGGCAGCGCCAAGACGAGCCCCCCGGGGATGGGTGGCGTCAGCCTGCCCGAGAGCCGCGAGAACAAGGACTTCGTTCGACCCAAGCTGGTGACGGTGGTGCGCAGCGGCATGAAGCCCCGCAAGGCCGTCAGGATTCTGCTCAACAAGAAGACAGCTCATTCATACGAGCAGGTGCTCACCGATATCACCGATGCCATTAAACTCAACTCTGGAGTGGTCAAGAAGATCTATACGCTGGAGGGGAAGCTGGTGAGTCAAATGCAAACAATGACGGGCGCTAACAATTGGGTTTGGCGGTGTGTGCATTGATACTTTGACTACACTCCCAGACATAAATTCTTTATCCTCTGGGAAGAATTTCTAATATTACTGAGGTATTTTAACTTCTCGACCTAAATAATCCATACGCACGCAAAAAAAAAAAAATCCATGTCACCTTTTTTACAATGCATGTATCGTATCGCCAATGTGATCCCTCCTCTCGCCACAAAATGTCAAATCCATCGTCCAAATAAACACAAATCCAAAAAGTTGTAATCAAATTGTTATTTTAGGTCTGTTTACATCTTATTGGATAATCGAAACTTTTGTGAATGAAGGCATTTTCCCAGACAGATTTATGAATGCTGTGTATGTGTGTGTGTGTTCATTGTTGTGATTGCCCACGCCGCATCAGACAGCATCGTGTGTGTCTGAGTCACGCGCCCTTCAAGGTCCGCCCACCTGCTCACTTGTGCCATACATTCATTTCTGGGGGGGAAAAGAAAAAATCCGATGGACTCGAATTGGTTACAATGGCAGTATTGCCTATAGCGCCACCTGCTGCTTTGGCATGTACTCGACAGTCTGTCAATTTGCGTTCATGTGGTTGATTTGGGGATTATGATTCAATACGTATGTATGATGATTTGATTTCCTGACATTCCTGTCTGTTCGAATCACACGCTAATCTCATTTTCCGCAGTACCCCCCCCTCAAAAAAAAAATGCACAAAATGATAATTTACTATCAGACATTCATAGCTTTTATTCTTGGGAAATTACAACCACAACAAAAAAGACTATTCTTGTTTTATTATGATTTTATGAATTTATTGAACTTAATAATGGAGCAAAATATGGCCTTTATACATTTACAAAATTTTGATTATTATTATTTTTTTTTAATTGTTGGAAGATTCCATCTTTATTGTCATAGCATATGTATGTAATCATGAGCAGGCAACGGTTGTTCTCGTTTTGCATTTAGTGCCATTTTGTGTGCCTCTTGTCACTAACGCTGACGGGCGTCGCATCCCGTCTGACCTCACACAATCCATTTAACGATCGGCCATGATTAACCCAGCAGGGCGTCGCTCCAGATTCCTGATCGGATCTGCACTTCTTAAAAATAAACAAATAAATAAATAAATAAATAAAGTCTCTTTCAGAATCCTCCCACGCAAAATTTAAAGTCACACTTTTCCTCCCAAAGCCTGCTCACGCTCCGGTTGCCACGGGTTACGGTTGCCTGGGAGATTACACAATAAACTCGCCCTCCTCTCTTTCTGCAAGTAAGGCTCTTATGGCGCTGCTATTTTTGGCCGCTCTATCGATTGGGCCGCCGGGCATGGCAACACGCGAACCACCCGGTCTGGGTGCCCTTTTTTTTTTTTTTTCTCTGAAACTTAACGAATATTAAAGATCACGAAAGAACAACGCACAAATAGGAGATTACTTTAAACCTCAGTGAAATGCGCTTAATCCGTGTTGTAATCGCAACTAAAACAGCCTTGGCTTATGGTGAAGGAAAAAAAAAGTTTGTTTCATGGTTTATAGCAGCATGAACCCTCATCATTGTGACATTTTTACTGTATGTCAGCATCAGTCAAATATTTGACAGTCGGAGGATGACCCTATAAAATATTGATGACGTCTCATTGAATAGAAACTATGTGTGAAGGTACAGTAATAACCCAAGTGTGCACCCAGATTGGGTGACTTAATGTGTGACTGTGTGTGTCAGAAGTAGGTTTCTAGGTTGCTGGTTGTGACGCGTCGTCCCGGCAGAACTGACGAGTCCAAAGAGAGAAACAGAGATGACGTCCGAACACCAAAACGGCTCGCTCATCTCTTTGCATTCATTAACCTCTTTTAATGAGGACACACACACACACACACACACACACACACACACACACACACACACACACACACACACACACACACACACACAAGTGCAATAAAGCTCGTTTTTTTTTTTTTTTTGTGGGACTACTCGAGATAGACGGACCAACCAAATTTCATGTCGCTAAGTCAAATTTGACTTTGTCGTTGACAATAAGATGCTTGCATCAAAGCCAAAGTAGATGACTTGCTGTGTCTTTTCAGGTGTGACTTTTTGAGACCTTTTTTGTGGGTCTGCTCATGATAGACATGTCAACCAAATTTAATATTGCTCAGTGAAATTGGCTTGAGGGGATGAACTTTTAAACCATTTGGTCAAGCGCTACCTCGAATTGATTTAGTGAAAATGTAACGGCTACTTCAAACCAAAATAGATGGCTCCCGTGTCTTTTCACTCTTGGGACTTTTTGGTGGGTCTACCCTGCATTTTTGCAACATTTGGTCAAGAATTTACAGTACCTTATGGGGTTGACTTAGGTGTTGACCAGTCAATGGTGTTTTCAAACCAAAATACCTGACTTACTGTGTCCTTTCGGGCATGGTCTCTTGGGACTTTTTTTGTGGGTCTGCTCATGATAGACATATTTGCAAAGCGAAACTGCCTTTGAGACCTGAATTTAAAAAAAATGGTAAGGAGCTGATGTTGTGGAGTTTACTTAGTTGTTGATCCTCAAATGGTCATTTCAAATCAAAATGAGACATTTCCTGTGTCTTTTTAGACATGGCTTCTTAAGACTTTTTGTGGGTCTACTAGCGGTGAACATGCGTTGTAAATTCACATTTCTTGGTGAAATTGGCTTGGGGAGGCTGAATTTGGTGCTTGTTGGAGCTGCATACGAGAGTTTGTGACTACCTCTCCA